GATGCCCTTGCCAAACTGTCTAAGTTGCACATGATGCTTGGCAACACTGGAAAGTCTGGCCGTGGTCAATCTGCACCTATGTTCACGTTCTTGGGCCGACCGATTGGCCGTGTTTGCCTATGCAATGTCATGGCAATGGGGATCAACCGATTCAGACGTGCTCTGGAGATGGCGCCTGATATGAGATTTGGGCTGGCTCGCAAGGGCATGCGCCATGCTGCTTCTGAGTCAGTCAATGCCTTCCTTCATATTCTATAAGAGGGAGTGGCCGAAACCCTTCCAGACAGGTCAGGGAGGGCCATGAAACATATCATTACACTTTAGACTTTAGGCTGCCCGGTTGCTTTGTAGGTTGATTGACCAAAGTTTGAAGCTTCAAAGTGTTGCTTTTCAAGTTTACAATGTCATGCGGGATGCCGTGCAGGTTTGTTCGCAGAGGACGGTCCCAATGGGGGGAAGATGCTGAAATTGATTTGGAAGCCACTGAAGTGGATCCAGAGGATGTCAGAATTTGGCTAGACAAACCCAGGGTGCAATCTGGAGTGCTTTGCAGGGCGGCGACAGCAAACCCATCACCAAGTTTTTATCGCCCGGAACGGTGACAGATTTATATACCCACTATCAGGCAACTCGCCAACTCCTCGGTGCAGCTGCTGTGTCGTCTTTTGACATCCCATTAGTAGTTTTCCGTTTGGATTTTCTCTTTTTTTTGTGTCCCTTTTTGGGCGCAAAATGTTTGCCTTTTTTAGCCCCCTTCACGGTGCCAAACCAATGGGAATATTACCAATTTCAATGTGTTACAAAGATAAAATCCAATGAATTCAGACAAATTGAATTTGTTCATTTTCAAATGTCAAGGTACAGCACTTTCCTCTCTATCTATAAGGAGAAATGGAGCGACATTCTGAAATTCAGGCAGAAGAGCATGTTGCTGGCCAAAGGTTAGTGGCTTTATCTTCCGATACCTGTGAACAGTTTTGATTGGCTAAATTTGCCTAAATTCAACGATCAAAAATACCACGAACAAAATCCATGGAGTAGCTGCAAGTCAGGTTCAGCCAGTGTGAACTTTGCTATCATTTCAAGGATGCGATTGGGAAAGCTGCAAGCTTGGAGCAGAAACTCGCAACTGTCTTGGAATACCGCAAGCATTTGTCAGATCAGTATGCTGACAGGTGCATTTGCTGGACACTCCAAGAACTAGCATGTGACAGCATGAGCGATCTCCTGGTTATCCAGGTAGACGGGATGGACCAGTCCAAGTTCCGCCTACCCAGAGACCCAAAGCTGAGAGCTACGTCATCCCTTGCGTCCCTGGTGAGGCCAAAAGTCAAAGTCCATGGATGCTGGTGCTTTGGACTTTTGGCCCAAATTGACAGATTTGGCAAGACCTGCCAGCAGTGTTGGGCGTTTTGTTTTCAATGCAATTTTGGAATCTTGTGGTGTGGAAAACCCAGCACTGCATAATAATGATTAATGTGCAATAAATTAACATAAATTAACTACTAACATATTTTCCTAGTGGTAGTAGTTAATAATAGTTGCTCAAGCACTGACTAGTTGTAGTTACTAATAGTTTCGTCCTGGGTTCACACGTGGTTTTTCTGCCAAGGATATGTCCTGCAAATGCGAGTGTTGGATGAATCGACACGCCATGACAGCTCATCTGTGCTGCAAATCATAGCTGAGACCCTTGAGCAAGTCAGCTTGATATGCAGGGGGCGCAACACGTCCATGCCTTCAAAACTTTTGTTGATCGGTGACAATTGCGTTCGTGAACTGAAGAACGCCTTTACAGCCCAATACCTAAGCAACCTCATTGCTCGGAGGAAGATGAGGCTGGCAGGTATGTTATTCCTCCGAAAATCCCACACCCATTGCAAACTGGAAAATCTTTGGAGTGTTGTCACGACGTGTGGCATGCACAGATTCCATCCTGGACGCTGACAGCACATGTGATGTGTTGCGTGCAGAGCTCTCCCGCCCGGGTTTTCGGGCATGGTTGGGAGCGACCACAGAATTGCATGTATCGAAGCTCAATGCCTCTTTCAATTGGCGAGATCACTTTGCGCCCCAAGGTGCTTCTGTGTCTGGTGGGCTTTTGCTTGACGCGACAGCAAATCATTGCTTCCCCTTCATTCAGCACAAAGGCCAGGGAAACGCTTGTGTTTTCATAAGCCGAAACTTTTAAAATTGGATTCACCAGCCACTGCAACTATTTTAGTAATGTCAAGTAAGAATTATCAAAATAACATTAAAGTTTGACATCCAAAAACATAACTATTATTATTACAAATCAGACCCCAAAGGCACTGAGGCAGGTGGGTTTTGATTTTGGGCCCCACATGCTACAGAATGTTAACAACAGTTCTGTTGACTTGGCCCTGAGACTTGCCGGAGCCATTGCAAAACAATGTGGATTTTGGAAGTTGGCGTGGTCAACATGATCCTCAGAATGTTGTTTGCCTTGTCAAGCGCTACATTGCAGACGGCCAGCTCTCCCAAAAGCCGCTTTTGGTTCTCCCCGCCACCCGAGTGGCTTGTGTGTCCACAATGAGGCCGAGTCAGAAGTATCTGGCCCTCACTTCAGAGAAAGGGTTTCTAGTGGATTTTGTGGATGTGTGTTTTGTTTGTCGATGTTTCCAGCTCTGCAAAAATGTGGTGAATAAAATGTTAACCTAGTCAAAGATATCTGGCCATGACTTTTAATTTGACCCTGTCTGCTTTAAGCTTTCTAACCTTCTTGGCAGCAAATCTATAGGAATGAAAATAATCATTCACCGGCATTTGCGAAACAGTGTCGCCAATTGGCCACTGCAATTGCTGCAGCTTATGGTCAGCCTTATGCTAGAGCCGTGCGATATTTGGAGGACTCTGCTGATGAAAGTATCAGCATGATTGTTTGATGAACAATGATTATGTGGTTCAAGGTTCAAGTGGTTACCTATTCTTGTGCGGTTTTGTTCTCATGGCCTTTTGTTCCCTTTGTCTTGGAAGACAGAAACTAATAACTATTTTTTTCCTTTGAAAGGGGTCCCCGGGGTGAATGGAGTGAATGGGGTGAATGGGGCTTTATTTTGAAGATCTTTAGGACCGATGTCATCCGAGGACCATTTCAAAGGAAATCTTGTTTAATAGTGATTGCCAAATAAAGATGCTATTTGGGGAAGATGCATGGGAAACTTTCTGCAGGACTTGGCTAGCAATCATTTCTGGAGCCATGCGAGTATTGACCCGCTTCCCTGGCATCAGGAAGGAGGCCAGCCTTTGATTGGCCAGCCGCAATTCGTTTTGCACAAGTCAATTATCGATTCCTTGGCACCAGCCATGCCTTTGAAGGCAGTGTTCTCAGGCCTGCGGAGGTAAAAAACTTTAGGCCGTCCCCATTGTCACCTTCCTCTTCATCACTGGCTGGGAAGCCATCATTCAAATTATCACTGGCTGGGAAGCCATCATTCAAATCACCACTGGCTGGGAAGCCATCATTCTAATCATCACTGGCTGGGAAGCCATCATTCTAATCATCACTGGCTGGGAAGCCATCATTCTCATCATCACTGGCTGGGAAGCCATCATTCTAATCATCACTGGCTGGGAAGCCATCATTCTAATCATCACTGGCTGGGAAGCCATCATTCTAATCATCACTGGCTGGGAAGCCATGTAATTGATCATTCAGCAACCTGGACAGATCACAAGTGCTGAGGTCGATGTGGCAGAACCCTTGACAGGCTGGCTGGGAACTAGGCAAACAGTCTTCACTACTAGGAATTTTCCGGTTGGTTTGGCACCCCCAAAAAAAGGCCCCAGGAATCCACCAAATATGTAGGAAAACTATAGGAGAAATGATGAGTTGTGGGGGCCTTTTTTGGGGGTGGCAAACCACCAGGAAAAGTACAATTCACTACTGTGATGAAATTACAAAGGGAAATAATAACCAACGCCACGTTAATGTCTTTGGTGGTCAAACACCAGTTGATCAATGCACTTTTGGATCTCAATCACTCTGGTTCGATGTACTTTTTGGTTTCCACTTTGAGTTCATCGATGCACTTTTGGGTTTTCATCTCAAGTCATCGATGTACTTTGCCATCCTTTCTCAAATTATCGATGCACTTTTGGGTTTCAGAGTGGCATCATCGATGTACTTCAGGTTTCAAAGTGCATTTATCGATGTACTTTTGGGGTGCCGATGTGGTTGGTCGATGTACTTTATGGATTCAAGTTGATTTCATCGATGCACTTTTGGGCTTTCACCGCAATTCATCGATGCACTTTTGGGTTTTCATCTCAAGTCATCGATGTACATTTGCCATCTTTCTCAAATTATCGATGCACTTTTGGGTTTCAGAGTGGCATCATCGATGTACTTCAGGTTTCAAAGTGCATTTATCGATGTACTTTTGGGGTGCCGATGTGGTTGGTCGATGTACTTTATGGATTCAAGTTGATTTCATCGATGCACTTTTGGGCTTTCACCGCAATTCATCGATGCACTTTTGGGTTTTCAGCTATTTTCAGCTCAACTCATCGATGTACTTTTGGATTTTCACCTCAATTCATCGATGCACTTTGCTTTTCTTGACAGCTATCATCGATGTACATGGGGGCTCGAGGTGCATTGATGAATGCTAGTTCACTTTGACAACCCCTCCTCACATACGTTGATGACATGGCCGAACGCCCATCTGGTACATTCATGATTGGCTCTGCGTGTCTCAGGTGCCTGCCTTCTTCAGGGCTTGCTTGCTGGAGGTCCGGGGCACTTTGGGCATTGATGATGAAACCAGATTTGAAAACTGGCATCAATGTATCCGGAGGCTCGAGGTGCATTGATCCTAGGGGTTCTGGAGTGGTGCTGTTGATGAAATCAAAGAAATCAAAGTAGGAAATCAACATCACATCTCACATGATGCAAAGTCAATGCACCTGGAGGCTCGGGATACATTGATGACCTATCATGTTTTGAAAGTCTTCATCAATGTTGCAAAAGGGATTGGATGTGTACGTCAGCTGGCTTCGTTGAACTCTTGTCTTTTGCTCAAGCTGAACTGAAACGGCAGGGAGTGTCATTTTTGGCAGGGATTGCCTGTCAGTTTCTGACGGTCGACGTTGTGGCAGTGATTGCCACCAGAATGGCGCCCCTTTGCCAAATGATAGAGAGACTTCAGTCCAGGGTGAAGGCGAAACAGGAGGGTGATGTGAAGAAAGAGGATGGGCCTCTTACTCCGTCCCCTTCCAAGAAGTTAGCGACAGACATGGAGAAAAAGCTGAAGAATGTCACTGGCGACACAAGGCTGGTTAAGGAGTCTCAGTGTACACTTGAACAGGTTTTATGTTAATCAGTTCTGTCATGTGGTGACATGTCTCAAGGGTAAATTCAACTATCAAAATAATGGTAGATGCAATAAGCTTAAATTTCATGTCCCAACATAGGAAGCCAGTGCCATTTTCTCTTAATGATGTATCAACCTTGGAAAAAAGGGTGTGCTTTTCTTTCAAACTCAAGCTATTAATTTTACTGGTCTATGTATGTTGAATGCCCCAAGGAGATGTTGCAGCATGTCATGAGCTTCACCGATGGCAACCTTGATTGCGAACACCCTGCGCAAGCTGTCTTGGATGCCCTATGTGGAGACAATGCAGGCACCTATGGGCAGCAGCTGGAAGACTTCTTCGAGTCTTATGCTGACATGCGTGGACTGAAGAGCAAGATGTTCAAGCCATTGAAAGCTTGTGTGCATGACTTAGTTTCCCCCATGCAAAGACATGATGCCCCATTACTAGTAACTTTTTGGTAGGGAACCCCACTTTCAAACTCAAAGGCCTCCATCTCTGATGGTTTTCATGCTTTGTTTAGGGTGCAGGTTGCAACCCATTTGCAACCCTATAGATTTTTGAGCATCTGGATTTTGACATTTCACTCATGAATGATTGTTTACCAAAGAAAAATGGCTTTGCGTGGTTAAGGCCATTGATGCCGCTAGCTGCGATGACACTTTGAAGCTGCCCTTGACTGCACTGAAGTGACTCGACCTGAGCCTGAAATTGCCTGAACTTGTTTTACCATATTGTTCTTAACTTGCCCCTAGTGTTTTCACTATTTTTTGGTGGCATCAAGATGTAGCTTTGTAAGGTCCTGGTGGTAGACTTGTGTTTGAGTTTCTCATGTTCTTATCCTTTTGCCCTTCAGCTTCTCCTAAGGTTCGCTGTGCCGGAAGATGGTTTCCCCTCAATCGAGGATTGGACACACACCTTCACCAGCATTCTCTTGGGCGGGCTGGATTTGCAGCGAGAACCACTGGATGTTTCAATTCCAGACTTCAAGCCTGACGGTGCTTCAGCTGCAAACATGGCCTCTCTTTTGATTTGATTGCCAATCACATCGACGTGTGACCCTTGTGGCAATGACCGTCCCATCATTGTAAAACCCACCTGTAACGCATTTTGAGTACCCTTTTCAAAGGAAATCTTGCTACTTCATGCCTGCTAGATTTGGGTCCAATCTTTGAGCAGTTCCTTTGCTGCTTGTTGTAACTTTAGCCATGCCGCCGGCTTCAAAGCAGCCAATGTCGCAAGATGACAAGAGGGAGCTTCTACGCTTTATGTATCAGACCACGGCCAAGGGGAATGGGAAATCTTTTCAAGATTGGCTGGCAGCCTGGCGCCAGTGCATGAGTCTTTCATCCCGTGTGTCTGCAAACAGCCTCGAAGGCCACTCAGATTCGTCCAGGTTCAGTTCTAGGTTTTGAACTGTTGTTGTTTTTTCAAAAGTGTGATGCAACAATTTTGCTTTTGTCTCTGCTACCATCTGCATCACATCGGCTTCCCAAGGACACTTCGAGCGGCATGAATCTACCGGTGATTGGAGATGGGTTGACCCTGCATGGTCTTCGGAGTGGCAGCCGGCTTCTAGTGAAGCACATGATGTTGGCGGCCCTGGCCGGGGAAAAGGAAGCGGAGCAAAAAGTGTGGATGGTAGCGCTGCAGCGGCCAGAGCTGCGATGACTTTGGAGGAAGCTACTGAGTGGGCTGCAGAGTTGACTGCTACAAGTTCTCAGACTGCCAAGTGCGCTTCACCTGTTGTGGCCAATGATGGGATGCCACGATTTGTTGAGTTGCCCAAGGCCGGGCTTGGTCTTGAGCATGTTGCACCAAGCCCAACAGCAAAAGGTGTACCTTTGCCATCGCCCGCTGAAGCCCCTGCTGAGTGGCAAGGTCCAATATCTCCATTCTCGCCCAAAAAAAGGGAACCAGAGAAATGTAGAGAGGCTGCAAAATCCAAAAAGGAGAAGAAAATTGATGACCAATGATCAGCACAGAGACGTGAAAAAAAAGTCCTGACATCTGGTCAAATTGGCTGTGATATTTTCTGAGCGATTTGCTTTTACAATTTCCGGGTATTTTGCACTGGTTCCCTCAATTCTAGTGTCCCATCTGAGGTGCTACTGGGCAGATGGTTCTTTCTCCCTTTTCCATTGATGCTGTGAAGGGCTGGACACGTTGCAGTGCAGTTGCTTTCATCGCTTTGGCCGTATCCGAGATGGATGTCACGGACAAGGAAACCCAAGATCTTTTGGTGCCGTTGCACAAAGTCTTGGATAAATCCTGGCTCCTGCCAATGCACGCTGCCTGGATCAACTTAGTAATTGCCATTTGTTTTTTTTTTTTACGTTGCTGCTGTGTTGCAAGTTTTATAATTTCAAAAAAGTTTCCTTCCAAAGAAAACTACAAATATCAAACGCAGTGACACAGAGTTTTTTGTGGCCCAACCACAACCATGCTGTTGTTATGATGTATGTTTCTGCCTCCAACTCCAGCTGAGATTGCCCTGGGCATGAGCAAAGATGATCAATCCTACCGCAATTTGGCCCTCAGCTTCCGTGGTGCTGAAAGGCAAGCGCCATCAGTCTTACAAATGGCACTTCGCTTTTCCAAGGTCATCGATCGACAAGCTGCTTTGATGAATGGAAATACTGAGGCCCGATTGAAAAAGGTCGTGGGCCAGTTCAATCAGAGCCCAGACCTTCACGTAAAGCACCAAGTGGACCAAGACAAAGAACGCACGATCCTCAATCTGATCGTGGGAACCAGCAAGGTGACTGGGCCGAAATGGTTTCATTTTATCATCAGCAGCGGCTGGGAAGCCATCACCATTGTATGATCATCTTCACACTGGCTGGGAAGCCATCATTATCATCACCACTGGCTGGGAAGCCATCATTATCATCACCACTGGCTGGGAAGCCATCATTATCATCACCACTGGCTGGGAACCCAGCATTATCATCTTCACTGGCTGGGAAGCCATAATAGTCATCAAAGCCAGTATAGGCATCATCATCATGATCATCATCATCATCATCATCACCATCACCATCACCGTCATCACAAAAAATCAGAATCATCTCCATCAAGTTCCAGCAGCACCAAGGTTCGCACGCCGCGGGGGGGTTCCACGGACACCCCCAACGGCGCGTGAACCCAACCATGGTAATCATCCCTGTCATCATATTATCATATCATATCATATCATATCATCATCATCATCGTCATCATCATCATAATCAGCAACAGCAATCAGTGACTGGGATAGTGGTGGAACCCCCAAAGATGAACTTGCCTACCCCGTTACATGCGGAATCCATCACAGTTAGTTTTCATGAATGTGCTTTTTGGTTAAGTAGCTTGTGTGGTTGACAAAGGTTTCAAAGACTAACTTTGGAATCTCCGAAGGGGTTTTCCTTTTTTGAGTTCTCTCAAATCTTGTGACTTCCGCAAGCCACTGCCAAGGAAGCACGAGAAAAGATGATGCACCACTTGGCATTTGTCAAGTGGAAGGACTCTGCCTTCTCGTCTGAACAGCTCAGGACGACCAGATGGCTTTTAGGCGCAAGGCCAAGAGGCCTTCCGGAGGCATTGGTCCAGGTTTTGACTGTCACGCCTCTCGCCCAGTCAATGCTGATTGAGCTTCACATCAAAGCGTTCCAAGATGCCACCAGGCGACTCAAACCTTCGGCCTGGTGTCGCAAACGGGCATCCCCGGAGGAGTTTGACAAGCTGGTCGACTATGCATGCATCTTTGCAGCTTTGCGCACTGAAGCAAAGAAGGCCAACTCAGATGCCACAGTGGACACCAAGCTCATGCAAGCTTTCTTGGCCAAGAATCTCTGTTGGGATTAAATGAACGGTCTTGAATCTTTCAGCCTTGGACCGTTTTGACTTTTTATTCTTTTTCACAAAGGTTTTGGCCAGTGCATCACCTGCTAAGGGACTACTTCTCAGATGTTGACGCTTTGGTGACGTCCAAAAGTCCACAATTTCGCCTCCAGTCGCTGGCCGCATGGGTGGATCTGGTTGCACCCCCTGCTTTGCCTTCCTGCTTGCAGGCAGAGGCAACTGCTGATGTTTTGGCAGCTCAGGAGCAAGCAGCTCAAAGCAAGTTCAACGAGATCAAAATCCGTTTGGCTGCAGATTGTCAGAGCATGAACAAGTACAATCAAGAGCTCGACAAGTCAGCTGGAAAGCTTCATGTGGCAAAGGTGCTCCATGAGAAGACACAGCTGGAGAAGGGAAAGAAGTTACTCAACTGATGTGTTTTTTCCTGTTTTTGTGTCTTAACTACTTTAGTTACTAAGTGCTTGTTGTTTAGTCTAGATGGTTGCTGGTTGTTGCTTCCAGTGATTGCTGGTTGATCCAAGGGTGGTGGACGAGCACATGCAAAACCATTGTTGGGCCGGCTTGGTACCCGAGATGGAGATGCCAGTGGAGGTGGACACCATTCTGAGGGCCACTGCTGCCAGGAACCAGGCGGGGGATACTAACTGTTAATGTACTAACTTCTGAGGTCAAACAAATATGGGTATGTTTCAAAATGAGGCGCCCTTTTTGGCCCAAAAAAAATTACCCTTGCCAGGGGTAATTCTTAGGGATGGTTTTTGTCCCCCAAAATGTTTGCTTTAAAGAGGAGAAAAGGGCCTCAATTTGAGACATACCCATATGTTCATTGCCCAAAGACTTGTCAAAACAACGACAATAGTAAGAACACCCGATCCCAGCCAGGTTGGCGTGGAAAAAGTCAACATCATAGGATGGGTCGACCTCACCAAGAATGGAGTCCTTGGCCAAAAGGACGTGAACCGTGTCGGGCTTTGGTGCGAAAAACTGATTGCGAAAAATCTCACTGGTTGCTCGGCCCACTTGTCTGAAGAATTTGGGTTGCTTTTGATGCCCTCACATCCTAGCTTTTCACTTGTTGGGACTCGACGCTCTAAAGGCTCATGTGTGGTGATTGCCTTGCCACTTTTGGCTTCCACTGTCGGCTGTGGTTCGCTCCGGTTTGACAACGGAACCTTGGTTGTAGAAGGGGGTAAGCTATATATATATATGTGTATATATATATATATGTGTATATATGTATATATATATGTATATATATATATATGTATATATTTATATATATGTATGATGTGTAACTGTGTAAATATCTATGTATAAATATATATATATATACTGGCAATTTGCCACTTTGCTTGGCCCCGGAAAACGGACCCCACCAAGTCCCCCGAAAAAGAGCTTTTTCCTGAGTTTCCCACAGGAAATTTGACACTTGGTGGGGTCCGTTTTCCGGGGCGAACCCAAGTGGAAAATTGGCAATATATACATTATATACACATATGTATATACATATATATATGTATATATGCATATATATATGTATGTATGTATGTATGTATGTATGTATGTATGTATGTATGTATGTATGTATGTATGTAATGTATGTATGTATGTATATATATATATATATTATTTGTACTTAAAACATGTTTATCTGAATATAAATACATATATTGATATTGGATGATATTTGATAGCTCTGATCGAACTTATTTTCTGACAAGACAATTCACGTTTAATGTTTAACTCCTTTGTGTGTTCGAAGCTCGAAGGAAGCTCGAGGACAAGCTCGAAGCGCACAGGATTGAGTGGCGATCATTTTTCCTTCCGATGGATTTGCAGTCTGTTCATCATAACAGAGACATGCCAGCAGGGTTCTCACTCTACCTGTGTGTGGCGGACACAACATTGCCCTCCAAGGGCACAGCCTACAGAGCCAATAGGAGTGCTGGGAAGGCAGGCTTTTCCAAAATGCATTTTATGTCCTTTCCTGTCATTTCCTGTGAATTTCGAAATTTTGAAACTGATGGGTCATTTTTGGACACGTTGCCAAATTCAAATGACAAGGTTCCTGACATGCCTGGTTTTGTAAATCACTTGGGAAATGGCCACAACCGCCAAAAGGTTGTTTGAATATGGTTTTGATGTTTTCATGCAAGGTTTCCCGATGACCAAAATTTGACACAATGACAGTTCAGCTTAGCTTGTTGCATAGGTGGATCCTGATGCAATCAACCAGTTTTGCTCGTCGCAGCTCTGGCGCGAACAGCTCGTCCAGACCAAGTGCCGAGCGCTGGACGAGTCGGAGTTCATCGTGCCAGCAACTGGCTTTCCAGTTTCTTCTGCCGAAGGCAGGAGGAATTACACCGACGTGCAAGAAACTGCACAGTGGCTTGGGGGAACTGAAATCCCCAATGCCATTCTTCAAGCGCTGATGGCATGTGTCTCGCCTGGTTATTAGTTTGTCCTTGTTTGTTGCACAGTTTGTTTGCACTGTGATGTGCCAGTTTCACATGCTATAGTATCTAACTCAAGGGTTTCAGTCTGAGCTGCAGGTGGAGGAAGTTCCAAGCCGACCATGCTGGTCAATGGTACCTTTTACGATGGCTGTGTTGAGAAGGCTTGCATCGACCTTGGGATTGTCTCGGTTTCTCAGACCGACAAGCAGGCAGCCTTCAATTGTGGCTTGGGGCTGTTGAAGTCGCACCTCATCGAGATGTGGAAGTCCCGGGAAGGCGTGATGGCCCAGAAGACACCCAAGTACCAGCCGGAGCTTCCAGCATCTGAAATTGAAGGGCCTCCTGCCCAACCGGAGTTGCAGATTTGCAGCTTCGTTGACAATTGCCTGGTTCTGCCCAGAGATATCCGGACGGAGTTTCTTGCCGATCCTGTGCGTGGACCGGAGTGGCGGAAGATGGTCCAGGAATTTGATAGATGCTTTGCTTCGAGTGTACCAAGAGATTCCAACCCGGTGGAGTCAGAGGCAGCAACTGCAGCTGTAGCTGATGGGCAGGCCTTTGATTGGATCTCACTCTTTCCCTCTGAGCCGCGGGATGCTGCCAAATGGCATGAGAAGTATGACGGGCAGGTGAAAGCCAAATGCCAATGGTGTCCGCAGTTGACTGCATATTTGGTGGACACCAATGATGCCGCTGAGGGTGAGCCTGTCAAGTTCAAACTCTTTGTGGAGGCGTCTGAAGAGTACAACTGCCCTGTGACCGAGCCGTTCCTGGCATATGGGGCAGGGACATGGATCCTGGACGCCAAGGCTGAGAGCTACATCGAGGAGAATCCCAACGGATACAAAGCAGTGCTGTGCGAGTTCACCAGTGACGCTGCAGCTGTCGTGCTGGAGGCCTGATGCCACAAAATCCGTTTTTTGCTCAAACTGGTGCTCTGTTATTGTTGGGAGAGGATGTTTCTTATATATATTTATATACATATACTAATTAGATATGTATTTTCATATGTGCATTATATATGTGTGTATGTATGTATGTATGTATGTATGTATGTATGTATGTATGTATGTATGTATGTATGTATGTATGTATGTAGGTATGTATGTATGTATGTATGTATGTATGTATGTTCATATGTGCATTTCATATATATAGATAGATATATGTATATATAATATTTTTTATTATGTGTAAATTATATATATATGCACATGTTTATCTTTGAGTAGTAAATATCTATTTATCTATCCATCTATCTATCTATCTATCCATCTATCTATCCATCTACCTATCCATCTATATGTATCTATCTAATCTATCTATCCATCTATCTATCCATCTATCCATCTATCTATCTATCTATTTATCTATCCATCTATCCATCTATCTATCTGTCTATCTGTCTATCTATCTATAAATATAGTTACATATTTGTAAATATCCAGACATGTATACATGTCGAAACAAGTCAATGTGCTGCTCTTCCAGTTTTAACTATTGCCCCAAGTCTTGACTATTGTCCCAAGTGCTGGTGCCAGGAGAATGGCTCTGATGGCCCAATCAAGTCCCTCAAAGAGGTGATCCAGCAGTGTGAGGCGTCTGGCATGGTTGATTTTCAGCTTGCTGGCCATGTCTTCTCACGGCCACCGGCTGTGGTGCAAGGCGTTTCTGTGGACCAGTGCCTGGGCACTCAACCATTGCATGTGCTTTTGTGGCTGAAGTTGCATGTGTTTGCGCATTCCTGTTGGATGCTGTTTGCATTTTCAAATTAGATAAAGACAAGGTTTGATGTTGGCCCGAAGAGTGGCAGCAAGATGCTGTGGCGTCCCAACCAGCTTCAACTCACAGGGGTTCGTGCCACCAATCTTGCGAGCTACTTCCTGTCTGATGCCTTGGATGCCTGCTCTTCTCTGAAGAAGGCCAGGTGTTTGGAAATAGAACATGTTGGTTTCCTGATTGTAAAATGTTGTTGTCGTTGTCGATGATGATGATGATGATGAAGAAAATGAAGATGTTGTTGCCGCTGCTGTTGTTGATGTTGATGTTGTTTATGCTGTTCATGTTGTTCATGCTGTTACTGGCTTTTCTGTTGGTGATTTGTTGGCGATGTTGGTGATGATGATGCTGCTGGTGATGTTGTAAGTGATTTTGATAATGGCTGCAATGGCTTCCCAGCCACTCATAATAATGAGGGTATCCCAGCCACAAATGGTGATGATGATGGCTTCCCAACCACAAATGGTGATGATGATGGCTTCCCAACCACAAATGGTGATGATGATGGCTTCCCAGCCACAAATGGTGATGATGATGGCTTCCCAGCCACAAATGGTGATGATGATGGCTTCCCAACCACAAATGGTGATGATGATGGCTTCCCAGCCACAAATGGTGATGGTGATGGCTTCCCAGCCACAAATGGTGATGATGATGGCTTCCCAGCCACAAATGGTGATGATGATGGCTTCCCAGCCACAAATGGTGATGATGATGGCTTCCCAGCCACAAATGGTGATGATGATGGCTTCCCAGCCGCAAGTGATGATGATGATGATGATGGCTTCCCACCCACACATGGTGATGATGATGGCTTCCCAGCCACAAATGGTCGATGATGGCTTCCCAGCCAAGTAAGGACGGTGCTGATAAAGATGATGGTGATGATGATTGTACTGTTGATGTTAGCAGCGATGGTGATCATGATGATGCTTTGCAACTGGTATGATGGGAATGAGAATGTAGTGGGCGGTGGTGATGATGATGATGATGATGATGATGATGATGCTGATACTGTGAGTGGTGGGGGTTTGATGGCTTATTTTTGCCGGTGGCATTTAAAAAAGGCCATGAAAGAGTTCAAAAATGTAGGGATTGTTTTTCTTGTTGTGTTTTTTTTGGGGGTTGTATTTTGAAAATACATCCTACAAAAAAGGACTTCCCAGTCCAGTTGACTTCCCAGTCCATTTGACTTCCCAGTCCATTTGACTTCCCAGTCCATTTGACTTCCCAGTCCATTTGATTTCCCAATCCATTTGACTTCCCAGTCCACTTGACTTCCCAGTCAGGTGTGGCGGCTTCGTGCCTACAGGACTGAACGCACTTTGGGAGCAGCCAAGCCGCTTTGGTACCTGAGCAGTTCGCTTGAGCTGGACAAGAACACGGTCCAGCGGATTGTGTGAGTGATGTTGTGACATCTCAATCTTTTACGTGGGTTTGGACAAAGTGTTGCACAGTCAGCACTTTGACTCCTCTTTTGATCAAACTGTTCCCATTTGACGGCCTCTGTGCTGAAGCTGCCGGGATTGCTTTGCTTGCACCAGCCTGGCATTTGAGAAGCAAATCATTCATGCAGCTGCAGATCATCCTTTTTCCACCAAGGTATATGTTGGTTGGAAGCTATGATATTGTTTTTCTTCACCCCCTGACATGGCACATGAAAATGTGACTGTACCTGCAAAATCCTTAGTCCTAGCAACTCTTGAACCAGTTTATATCATATCACCTGCGTTGCAGAGATTTGGATCAAATGTTTGTGGGGGGTCGCATGCTTGGCACTTTGCCATGCCGCCCATAGTTGTGGAAGATGATGACCGTGATGCCATAGAATTTGCTGAGCCGGACCCTGGGGACTCAGGATTTCATTCAATTTCCCATGATGCTGTTCCCCGACCATGCGGTGACAGCTTTGCCTTTAATCCTCCAATCCCACGGATGCTTGCCCAACCTGTGGAGCCAGTTCTGGAGACACCGCCCTGCAGGGGATCGACGGGAGTGTTCAGCCCATTGGGAATGGAGGCAGGTGTACTTACACCAAAAAACGTTTCAACTTAAATTTATATACGTCCTAAAAACGTTTAAGTGGACCGGGTTTTCCTACATGTAGTTCTATTTCTGTTCTAAAGAACTGCCCCCCAGGCCAAAGAAGATGAGTCTCAAGAAGCTATTGAACCGCAGTCTTTGTTGGGCCAGTTCGAAAACATCCACGGGCATGCAATGACACCAGAAGAAGAACATCAGGAAATCAAGGATCTTTTCGGTGAAGAAGTCTTTGACATTTTACAAAAACCATTGAGTGATTATGAACCTGCTGACACGATTCAGGAACCACAGAAAGATGAACCTGCTCAGCCTGCTCCTTCTAGGGATGGCAACACTGAAGGTGACAATGGGGATACATCTCAGGATGCTGTTGATCAACATGGTGATGCTGCTGAAAAAGGGCAGCCCGAAAAAAAACGCCGTCTTACTTTGAATCAAATGACCCCTGAAAGCAAGCAGAAGGAGATTGAACGCCGTAAACAGGCAAAACGAGACAATTCAAACCTGTGGCACGCCAAGTGGGTTTCCAAAGGCGTTCCCAAAAAACAAGAAGACCCTGGTGCCCCTCATGTCCCTGAAGCAGAAGTGGCTGAACCAGCTGGACCAGCTGGACCAGCAGCGCCTGAAAATCCAGGTGATGTCAATGACATGGAGCTCACTGTCGACAACGTCCTGGCCAACGAAGGACTTCGCAGTGACATGCGAAAGGTGAGGGCCATGTATATGACTCAGTGGGTCGCTGACGCAGAGAAAAAAACACCAGGGTCTGACCAAAAGGTTTTGCAGAATGAAGCCAGCAAAAGCTGGCTGGAATCTGAGCTGCGAGCGCAGATCTTAGCGGCCAGAAAGGGCCAACAATACTGATAAAAGGACATCACCCATGGGACATTGTGTCAAAAAGGACCAGCCGCCCGAATGCTTCAACTTTTTTTGTTGCTAAAAATGGAAGTGAACAGTATGTTGGCTCCACATTTGAACTAGTAGCCATCAACTTCTTGCAGCTGCCTGTCCTGCAGGTCGTGCTGTGGCTCTCCAGTTGCTGCTGCAGCCATTGGATCCGATCCGATCCGATCCGAACCATGGGGTGGGAAACCCTGCATTACATATATATATATATTATTATGTATATGGCTGGGAAGCCGATCGCTCACAGGCTGGGAAGCCCAACATCAATTATACATAGTAACATAGTATGACTGGGGAGCCGGTCAATTTTAGGCTGGGAAGCCAGAACATATCAATTGAACATTGTTCTCACCATTCAACATCAAAACCTAGAACAATCATGACGCTGGGAAGCCTGATGTTCTGTTTTTCTGCTTAGATGTTGGAACGGTGAACTGATGAGTGTAATTGATGGGCATGGTTTTGTTTAGATATCCTGAGCTGTTCCCTACATACACACGCCATTTCAAATATTGGTTGAGGGAATATGCAAAACACAAAGTTATCCCATTCAAAATTTACAGGGCCGGGTTAAAAATCTCAGTGAGTGAGTGTGCACATATATTTATATTGTACACATATAAAAAAAAAAATTAGGTACATGTATGCAATTTATATATACAATGTATATTGTATATATATATATATATTAAGTACATATTTGTATTTATTATAGATATAGATAAAAAGATTAGATAAATAGATAGATAGATAGATAGGTAGGTAGGTAGATAGATTAGATTAATAGATAGATAGATAGATAGACAGACAGACAGACAGATAGATAGATTAGATAGATAGATAGATAGATAGATAGATAGATAGATAGATAGATAGATAGATAGATAGGTAGATAGATAGATAGATAGATAGATGGATAGATGGATAGATGGATAGATGGATAGATGGATAGATGGATACATAGATAGATTGATAGATAGATAGATAGCTAGATAGATAGATAGATAAAGAGATAGATAGAGAGATAGAGAGATAGATAGAGAGATTGAGAGATAGAGAGGTAGAGAGATAGAGAGATAGATAGATAGATGGATGGATAGATAGATAGATAGATAGACAGATAGATAGATAGATAGATAGGTAGATTAGATAGGTTAGATAGATTAGATGGACTAGAATAGATTAGATTAGATTAGATTAGATAGGTAGATAGGTAGATAGGTAGATAGATAGATATATAGATAGATAGTGAATTGTGTCAGACTATTGCTTTTATTAGTTTTGGTCAGCCTCACCCATAAAAAAAACTACTTGTGCTTTGTTTTGGTGATTTTGCCCTGGGGGGGCCACCAGCCTCGGCATGATGGTTTCTCTTTTGTTTTTTGTTTCGTTATATCCATGTTTATTGCTTTCCTGTCTCTAGTTCCTACCCGTTGCAGCTCTCTGGTTTTAAATGATAGATATGCAAACCTTTGATGGTGTTTGTTGGCATGACAGTAAGACTCTAAAAGGCACGACATGTGGTGAGGTGTTTGATTCCTGCGCTGGACACAAACTGGGGCAAATGATGTGGCACACCGCTACCATGACATGCAGAGTGTGTGTGTGTGTGTCTGTCAGCTTTCTTTTCCTGTGGAGTTGTTAGTTACTTGCTTGTGATCTACAATAACAAGTTCCAAGGCATCCAAATAGCTCAAATATGCATCCAAATAGGTTAAATTAAACTTATATATTGATTCAATAAAAGTCACATCTTATTGCATAAAACAACATCTAACTCTGTGTCAATATCCGTTCTGAACGTTGACTTCTCCATGTTTCCACCAAAAAACCATCAGGTCGGCCAGGTTTTATCATTCCATCGGCGCCCATGGACCTGAAAGCCACAACCAGCTTGTATGAGACTGTCCATATCTATATCTACTAAATATTTTTAAATTATATATATATAATATATACATATATATAATTATATCAATATATACATTTATATATATACATATCAATATATATATATATATATTATCTAAGTTCAAGATAGGTGCTT